CAAAGAAGAGAGAGACGAGAGAGAGCGAGAGCATGAGCAGAGAGGAAGACGAGACGAAAGAGAAATGAGAAGAGAGAGAAGAGAGAGAGAGTGAGCAGAGAGGCGAGAGAGAAGACGAGGAGAGAGAGGCTGAGTATGGAGACGAGAGAAAGGAAGAAGATCGAGAGAGAGATCGAGAGAGCGAAGAGTGCATGAGAGAGGATGGTTGATTGGATGGATGCGATCTACTTAGAAGGCAAATAAAAGTGAGAATTATAAAATTCTGCAAAAACGGAAATGAAACAAAATAAATTAACGAGATAGCAAATGAAGGTTCAAATATTGGCGCGTCCGATTATCACCCTAATAGAGGGATCGCAGCCGAGCCCTTTAGTCTGCTTTGCGCACAATTTGAGCGGAAACGGAAAGAGAGAAATGGCAGTACTTCACTCGGAGATGGCCAGCACTGTAGAAGTCATTAAACACGGATAATTGCCGTCCATTAACACGTTCAGAGAGAGGTATCGCTTAGTAGCATCTCATATAGCGCGAGGATGATTTGGGCCAGGTGTCGCTGGGATGTCGTCTCGTTAGGCCTGGAAAATGTGGGATTTCCTTTTTTCCCAAGAGACTGGATTGCTATTTTTTGTGTGTGTGTGTTTTTTATGCTGTTATATTGTAGAAGTATAGTTTGATTTGTGTTTATTGGGGTCTGTTATTTTTTATGGTGTGGTTCTTTTAATCGGCTGTTGTACCTCTTCTCGTAATATGTTGTTGCTGCTGTTGCTGTTACTCGTGCTGTTGATTAATTATGGGTGTTATTTTTGTATGATATTGATATTGTTATTATTGTCATTGTATTGTATTGGTTAGTTTAGTAGTAGTAGCAAAAGTATTCTATTGTCATTATTTTTATTATTGTTGTTTTTATAGCAATTGTTATCGTTATTGCTAATGCTTTGTCATTATCAAAATTAACAAATCGTTTATTGTTTTGTTACATCTAGAATTTTGAATTTCACCTTCTACTTTAATAAAGCCTCAAACGGCATTTTTTGTCAGTTAATTAATATTCTATTAAGTGTCCAGGATCCACTGCATTGAGAGTTAGTTATTTTCCAGATTTCTGTTAAGTGTAAAAAATGGTGATTGATGACATTTAATGTTTCGTAAAATGAATGTTTATTTTCCGATGCCGAATTTAAAGCTATTTGCATCGGCCTAAACGCAGGGCATATCAGTTGTCATCAGCACGTTTATTATATAATCCGCTTAATGATTCGTAGTAAATATTGCTCCATTTTTTATAATATAAATTGAACGTTTCTAGTATCAAGCAGTTTTTATGTATCATTTATTTATAGAATCGTTAATTTTTTTGACGATCAAACAATTTCAATATTGCTTTGTTTAAATCTGAAATATGCTGTTGGTCCGATGCCAATGGCGATAATGTGCTTTTTTACATGATCCTTATTGCTAGGGCCGTTATAATAGCATTTTAGAATTTTAAATATTTGCATATATGCTAATTTTATTGCCGCTAGCCTTTGCGTAACTACGGTGCTACGAGAGCTTATTGTTAAGGGAATACTATGAAAGATTTTAATGCAATTATTGAAATATTGCTAAAGGGACTCCAGACGCCAGTTCTGTATTTTTTGGGGGGCATAGGCGACCGAAAATTTAATAGGGCTGATTTTGTATGTTAAAAAAAACTCTCCGTGACTAAAGACAGTAACAGCAAGACACGACAGGGACGCAGGTGGACGTCTGGGAGCTGCGTTGGAAAGCCAGTCTCGATAATAGGAGTTATTAGCCCGAGAGATGCACCGGTGACTGTTTCGACGCCGCCACCAGAAAGCCGTGGGACCTCGCCCTTTCGCAACGGCAGTCACGTGACGCAGCTCCCGACCCTTCTCTCTTTCTAACCTCTCGTTTATTTCTTTCCACTCTTGTGCCCTCTCCCCTCTCGCTCTCCGCCCCTCCTTGTCTGCCTCCTTCCCTACATCTTTTCTCCCCTTGCATTCCTTGTTCTCTCCCTCCCCTCCATCTCTTATCTCTTTTCCTTTCCTCTCCCTCTCCCTCTCTCTTTTTCACTTTCCTTTCCCTTCGTTACAAAATATTCAATAAAAGGAGTGACAAGAACTCCCCACCTCTTATCTCTTCCCTCTCTTCTCTCTTCTCTTCTCTTTCCCTCTTGTTTTCCTTCTCCTTTCCTCCTTTCCTCTCCCACTCCTCTCTCCTCTCCTATCCCTTCGTCTTCCCTTCCTCCGACTGATGTGACGCAGCGCGTTGATTCCCCGGCCAGCGAAGAGGGACCTAGGGCAAAGAGGAATATTTTTGATGCGTTGATAATGGGAGTGGCTTGTTTTTACGAAAGATAAGTGAGTTATAGGGGGATACGTGGCTATGGTAGGTTGGAATGAGGATGATCTTAATGAAGGCAAATATGACATAAATTATGATATTTGTAGCAATTCTCGATATCTGATGAGTATTGCCGTCGGGGAAAAAATGA